AAAAAAAAAAAAAAAGGAGTGATGGTAAGAGCATTCACTCCTATGTGTCGTGCGGGGGGCTCCAGTCTATTGGTGGGGAGCTACACCTGGTGGAAAGCGGTTCCAGCGTCCCTTCAGATACAGCGTTGAGTTGTCCATACAGCATGTGCTGGGAACCGGCCCCAGCGTCCCTCATTAATCCCGATTCTGATACTACGAAAACATTGATGAAGATACCACTGTTACTGCTGATAATGAGTCGACAACTGTCGATCAGACCACAAGCACCGATGAGTACATTGTGCTGAGACAGATGTCTCCTTGCCCATTAGTCGTGGTTTTTTGCCCACTGGTGCTACCTCTTCACCCTTTTGCTGGGCGCCATATCTTACACTAGAACCTAGTAGCCATCTCTTTTTTTTTTTTTTTTTTAATCTGAACTTCGTATACGGGAAACCTACTTAACGAGGTGATAAGAGCATCCCTGGTAAGTAGGCCCCGTCGTCGAAGGCTCCATCTATTGGTGGGGAGCTACACCAGCTGGAAATCGGGTCCAGCGTCCCTGTACAATGATGAAAATGTATGTGCTGGAAATCAGGTCCAGTGTCTGTGTGCAATAGCGTGAATATGTGTGCTGGAAAACGGGTCCAGCGTCCCTATCCATCTAGTCTATAGAGCCTCGAAAACAAACTGAGGCATCAATCCAATCAATGGAAACCCTAACCATGATGTGATGTGTATTACAATGGAGTGATTTGCATCTGCTGGAAATCGGGTCCAGTGTCCCTATGTCGTGTTGTGTAACTATGTCCAACAGTCAGAAACTTATCCATATATGTCCTTTTTCTATATCTATCAGAGTCTAATCACGAAACCCTAAGCACAATATGCTGTATATGATATTTTATCAATCAAGCCTAAAAGCAAAGCTCTGTCAAGGATGAGAGATGTATAGTCTGGACGTCAAGTCCAGTATCCAATATGCATTATCGTGTGAAACTGTAAGGGGGCATCGATTACTTCCCTGCGCAGGGAAGGAATGACCTCCTGCTACCTAACCCCTAAACAGCTCACCGCCGACCAACAAGACGATCAGCCCCCCGTTGATGATTGGTATTGCAGGCCGGACAACATCAATCACCCCCAGCTATCCTACTCCTATCCTCTGCCAAACCACAAGGAAGATCTCCGTATCGAGGTTGGAGTGAGGAAAAGCAGTAAACTGCTTCTCTATATCAACCCCATATCCCACCACGTCCTCTTGCAGCATTGTTCCCATCACGCTGATGATAATCTCAGATGCCTGGATGCCGCTTCCTACCCTGCTGCTCCCTTGGTCGTCGCCACCGCCGTTGTCGTCGTCGTCGTCGTCGTTGTTGTCGTTGTTGTCTTTGTTGTTGTTGTTGTTGTTGTTGTTGTTGCTGTTGTTGTTGTTGTTGTTGTTGTTGTTGTTGTTGTTGTTGTCGTCGTGGTCGTCACCATCGTTGAGAGGGGGGGAGATAGCAAACCCATCTCACTATCCTCAAAGGAGAAATTGAAAGCCAGATTCGGAGAAAACATCAATACATCCCCTCCTACTCCTCTCCATACCAACTCATGGGAAACAGGGATAAGGGGGAGGGGAGGAAGGGTCTGGGAACTCTGAAAGAGGGAAAAGGGGTACAGTTGGGTCGACATTTGTCCAATCATGAAATTGCAGGTGGTAGTCCCTTTGAATTTCCTCACTTTGCTCATCCTTGTTCTCTCTCCTCACCCCACTTTTTTGGTCTTTCCTATCGTACCCCCTTGAGGGCCCCCAAGCCAGGCGCCACCGAATGGTTGGATGTGTTGTTGAGTTTCCTTTTCAGACTATAAAAAAATGATTTTTTCTTTAATTTTATCCCACTGAGCAATAATTACTGTTTGTACTTGCAATTTGATTGCTTCTGTAAAGTCTGGGCCATCCAACCTTGCTTCCTCAATTTCAAAAGGGCAGCCTAGTTGTCGAAAAAGCTGCTCTTCTTCGCCACTTTCAATGGTCCTAAAAAATATGGTTTTTTTTTTTTTTTTTTTTTTTTTTTTTTTTTTGCTTTATGTAGAATCTTGCTCCTACGGGAGACCTAAAAACCGTACTATCAAAATCTTCACTAGATTGTTCAAATCCAACGTTCTTCCTTAAGGGTTTTCTTAAATCCCATGTTTAGAGTAGAGTACAGTTCAGTTGAGCGCATAACAAAAGAGTAGAGTCGAATATTAAAAAGCACAGTACAGTACAGTGCAATACATTAGAATAGAGTAAAGTAGAATATAGTAGAGTAGCATTGACCATCGCCGAGTCGACTATTGTCAAGTATTGTAGAGTATCGTAGAGTAGAATACAATAGTGTAGGGTAGAACAGAGTAGAGTAGAGCAGAGTATAGTCGAGTAGAGTAGAGTAGAGTAGAGTGGAGTGGAGTGGAGTGGAGTAGAGT